TCCCCCCCCCCCCCAGTGACACCCAATGAGGCCGTGCTTGTCATGAAAATAATTTACAACTTAAATTAATTTGCATGACTCAACCTTGCCCTCATAAACATATGCATCAATCATTGCATCCATTGGCTATGACTTTCGGTAAGAAATGCTTTCGCTTTGCAAATAACGGAGCTTTTCCTTACATACCTGTTCCGTTCTCTAAAATGCAATAACAGGAAGGTAGATTCATAACAAATATGATATTTCCATTTCAAAATTCCTTAACAGCTCTTTATGAACTTCAGAGGTGGCATTTCTGCGTGGCAATAAAGCTCTTCTTGGCGCCCTGTGAAATCTTCGATTGCCCTGCGAAATCGACTATTTTTTGGATTGGGGGGTGTCACACCCCCCCACACCCCCCGGTAGTTTTGCCCCTGCACGAGGTTTGGTCACATCGAGAGGAAGGACCAGGACACTGCTCGATAAGCATAGCTTCTCAGTCTCCTAGAAACTACCTTCGGATGCTAGGTAGAAACAAATACAAATACAAATACAAATGAACTCTGATATGCTCTCAAATTTTTCAAGCTCTAAATTGCATCTTGGCATGTGCTGTTGTCCTGTGTGTTTCCACTTCTCCTTTTTATCTTATATTCTATTTCCTTTACATCGACATAACCTTCTTCATGAAGTAGTCAATTAATCGTGTAGAAGTAGAAATGGAAGTAGAAATAAGCTCTTTGTTACAAACCTTGGATTCTGCGCATTACAGTGGTATACATAATTCAACACCGTTTCATCATCTTCCTCCGAAAACATTCGTCGAAACTTTCTTTTCAGGTCTGGTCGAAATTTCTGAACAAGACGTGGTCCTTAAATTTGAAAAAACATGAATATTTATCTCTTAAACTCCAAAACATATTGCCAAAAAAATTTGTTTGCAAAGAATTCAAGCTAAAAAATTTCTATATTCTCCGATCTCTTGGTTTGAGAACATGTCAAAGCCTTTAAAACGGTCACCGACAGCAATCTAAAGGTTGGTCGTTTTTCTACCAATGGTTTTCCTGTTCACGTTTGTCAGTGCTATTAACATAGTTACTCATTTTCTCTGTTCATTTGAACTAAAAAAACATAAACATCAGATAATTGCTAACAGGTTGATGTTTATGATGTTTATGGTGTGTAGTGAGTGGTGTTTTAGGAAAATTGCCAAACTTTATTTTAAAATATTTCAGATGCTTCAAAGAAGTGATTTATAATGAAAAAAACAACAATGCTGAAAATGTCAATAAAGAGCAATGATCAATTTTTTTACAAAAATTCAGTCAAATAGAGCAAACTTTGAACAAATGGTGTATCTCGTTAAACTCTTTCTGCAATATACAGACTGAGCCCATTCAATGTAACAGACGATAAAATGCTTTGATTATGCTCATTCAGCTAGAAATAGGCCCAATTTGACTTTTAGCCTTAGTGGAGAATTACCAATTCAACAGGTTAGGAGAGAGAAATCCAGTTTTCTAATTTCAATAAAGAGTGATCAGAGCTATTGCTTTTCAGTTTTTTCCCTACTTACACTTCTATTTTCTCTGACTTATTTTATATGACTCGTTTCAATTAAAACTATCCTTTGTTTATGAACGTATCAATAAAATTTCGCCTGTCTGTTTTCACACATTCTTTGAATTAATCAAGTCCATTTATTAACATGATACTCGAGAGGCCTCTAGAAAAGACATTTTCTTAATTCATAGAAACACTCTTCAATACGGCATAAGATCTGTTCCTTTTACTGGTGCTGAATCAAGGAATAGTATCCCTACTGTCATCAAAAATCTGCATCCTTGATTTGCTTCCGTTATAAATTTAAGTCATATCTGATCTGCATGAAAAAGCATTGACACCTAATCTCCCAAAATCTCAGACTTTTTTTCACTTCCTACTAACGGAAATCGGAGTAACATTTTCGGTATTATTTACTTTGATCTCGGTGACTTGCAACAATATTTTGTGTATAAATAAAGGGCCTCTCTCTTCGATTAGGTTTGTTACTGAGAGAGATCTTCCTTTAGATGATTCCCCATACATACATATCCCGCTGATAATTTGTGTTTCACATATAATTGTGATAAAAATTGTTTGTTATTTTAACTTGTTGTATTTTTATTTGGTGCTTTGAGGAAATGCATTTTGGGAAATTCAAATATAACGAACCTGAACCTGAACCTTGAATGGCAAAAGAAGGGCAACTGAAAAACTGATTTGCAAAGCTTCCAAGAAACAAAATAGTCCATACTTGGTTTGCATTTTAGCACTTCACCTAGCTCATATCCATGCTTCTGTGCATATTGAATTATCCTTTATCAACAAATAAGCATAGCCATACTATACCTAACCAAACAGAAAATCTTAGGTTAAAATGAAGTAAGCGTACCATAAGGGCCAGCAGCTCTAACAGCTGATAACGGATTGAAAGGACTCAGCATTGCTGCAACAATCCTTGCCCACCGAGGGATTCGAAAAGGCTCTTCTCCTGGTGGCGGTTTTTCATGCATACCCCATGGATCTGCCAGTATCAAATGCCGGACATGCTCTGGATACCTGAGTGCATAAGAACAGGCAATAAATCCACCCAAACTGTGACCCAGAAGAATAAACTTTGAAATTCCAACTTCTTTGCGCCATTGCTCAATCGATTCAACAAATTGTTGCTCCGCTTCGGCAGCATCGCCTGAAAAATCAGGCCTAGAGCTTCTTCCAAAACCCAATACATCAATTGCAAAAACAGACTGGCGCTTTGCAAGTTCGTCTAGGTTAAGTGCCCAGAGACCTGCACCAGCTCCAAATCCGTGCACTAATACCAAAGGGACTCGTTTCTGCTCATCCGGATTCAGGTGAAGAGTCCAGACTTGTTTTTGGTTGTCAACTGGCACATATTTGCATTTCATTTTCGTCTTCACATCTATGGTTAATAAATAAACATATTCATACAAAGCACTAAAAGATTCTATTTACTTAAAATCACAAACCTAGCTGCCTACTTTACTAATTGATTCAGGTGTCTTTACTGATTGCTCTTCTCTTTCAATGACATCTGTTTATTAGTGACGAAAAGTTTGTTTACCTATTGGGCTGTTAACCTAACACAGAAGATATGCGCCTCTAAAATTGGGTATTTTAACGTAAGAAATGAAACTTTTTTAGCACTCGGTAAATATGCGTGGTATTATTTTTCGTAATTTTTCTTCACTTCCGTGGTCACATTAGAATCATCTCTCGGGAATATTTAGTCTCCTTGTAACACTGTTGTTTAAAATACAGTGTCGCAATGCAGTGTAAAAGTGTACAATTTTCATACTTTTTGCTTTAGGATCTCTCCATTCTCTTTCAAGTTGATTGTTGACACCAATTTTAGTACATATACAGGTTTCTACGACTAGACTAAGTGTTGTATCAATCGACAAATTCTAAGTTCCACCGACGTATCCACCATCCTTTACCGATATTCATTTTACTGTGTATAACTGCCAGGGGCGGATTTAAGCAACATGGAATGAGGGGGGGGGGTGTTAGACACTAATCTTGGTGCCATACCTTTCAGGTCACTGGTAAATAATGGAAACGCCCATTTTAAAATTTGGTTTTTAACTTTAAGGTGAAGACTATATGATGCAGTGGCGTAGCCAGGGTTGGAAGATCGATGTGGTAGAGGAGAAAATTCTTGCTTATCAGACCCCTAAGAAATTGGGGAAAACACCCATTTTGTAAATGCGTTTGGAAAAGCTATGGCTTTTTAAGTGGCAATTTCGCTTTATACAACGTCATATGTAGCGTTTTGTGGTTGATCATATTCTACAGCTGTCTATTTCCTTCACAATGCCATGAATGTTTATATCCTGAATTGTGTAAGCGAGGAAGCACTACGTGTAAAAAGTAATTTTCCAAAGTTGTAATCAATGATCTAAAAATAATAAACAGTATTCAAAAGTTTTAAACCAAGTCCATTCTTCTTGGAGCAAAATCCACGACAAGCACTTAAGAATCCAGTTTTTTTCAAGGATTGAACTGCTTTAGCATTTTAGTTGTTATTTTATCGGGACTGTCTCAAGAACGTGAAGGATGTTTCTATACAAACCCCAAAACGAGGGGAAATTGTTGAACATGCTGTAGAGATATACAGGAGGCTCTCCTACGAGCAAAAAGAGCAGCCAATTTTTGCGACGACGCCCTTGAGGTTAGCTAAAAATCGTTTCATAATATTCCTCCCCGCCCCTGCTACACTGCTGATAAGAATATAAATTCTGATAAGAAAAAAATAAAGTAAAAACTTGGCGTTACTTTGTTACTACTGAGTACCAACGAATGATTTTTACCGAATGAAATAAAATTTACCGAAGAACACAGAAATATTGGGGGGTGTCGCACCCCCTACATCCCCCGCTAAATCCGTCCCTGATAACTGCCTTTTACTCTCTATGTTCATTATTGACGATTCGCAAACGATTTCTTCTTAATAGAACCTTTCATCATTCCCAAGGTTTTTTTCATCTTCATAGTCTCTCGAAGTTCAAAAGAAGATAAAAACTCATTTTTGTTTTGATCATTCCAATCTAGCATACTACCTAGCATACTAAGCACCCACCCTCGAAAAAACGCTTCTCTTCAAAAAAGTGCTTTTCTGAAACCATCACAAATTCAAAAGGCGCCCAACCTCAAAAAATCGCCAACCCCTCAAAAAGTGTCCCTCCCTTAAAAAACCTGACATTATAGATCGGACCAAAGTGATCAATTTTCCAACAAATATTCCTTTTATCAAGCAAAAAGCAACAATAAACTGCAGGTTTTACAAAATTTTCAACAAAATGGTTAATAAATCTAAAAATTACAGAATACATGGCCCAATAGCCTCCCCTTGCCCCTTGGACCCTCAGCTTTGTTTTCATCAAACATCACTCAGGAAACTGATTTTTTCATACTATAAAATTAATTTGTAACCAATACATACATCGTAAAATTTGTTTTTCAGCAGCCTCCAGAAGTCCATCAGAAGTAGGTCGCCAAGAAAACCAGCTACTTATCCCACATTGGGAGCGAGGTTGCAAGGTGCTGCCGTTTTCTGCTTCCACCAAAACATTCCTAAAATTGACACACAGTAAAGGAATTAAAATTACAAAACAAATTCTAATATTACAAAGTTAGAAACATTGTGTATTAGTATCATGATTCACTAAATTATTCCCAATCTGATATTTGGATCACACAACAAACAACAATTATTGCAACAGAAAATAAAGCCTTTTTCATTATCACTGGTTAAATTAATGAAAATTTTTTAAAAATTTCATCAATAAATGTTGTTAGGTTTGTTGTCCAGAGACAATAACTTTAGCAAACATTGAAAATTCAGATGTGCAGTTTGAAGGTTTGCTGTCAAAGGCAAACAAAGAAATAGCAATCACATCATAGCCCCTAATTGCACAATATGAATACTGACTTGCAGAAGGAATTTGAAAAGACCTCCACAAGAGGTTACTTGTAGATCTTATGGACTTACTGAGATCAAATTATTGCAAGAAAAATTTATAGGAAGCAGTAAAAAACAAGTTCTGTCTCAGTGGGAAAAGGCCAAGTCAGGCATCCCAAAGGGCTCAGTATTAGTGTCACACTGTGTCTAATTTTCATTAGAGATCTAGATGATGATGTACAGCACTGATATATTTGTTGGTTGATGACCCAAAACATGGAGAACTGTGAAAGATATAGAGAACAAAGAAATACTGCAACAGGATCTTGACAGTGTTAGAAATGTTTAGGGCTAGCAGAAACAAAATATTGTTAGGCTACTTAAGCAAAACCAAACATAACAAGTGACAATCTTATCCTTTTTATGTGCAGGGAATGCAGAGCAACAAAATTCATGTTTGCCAATATTGAAGAATTTGGTGAGAAATTGTCTGAGAAGTTTTTAGCAAAGGCTTTCAAAGAGATGCTGTATTTGTTGTTTTTCTTGTGCATTCAAAAGTTGCTTGAATATTGGTGGGAAAGTGACCAAATAAAAAATATTATTCAGATAAATAGATTTGCAATAATGCATAGGTGGAAGAAGGATGAAAATTATTGTGCAGGAATGTGTTCCCCAGGAAGACCTTTACAGTCTGGTTTAAGGGAACCAGATGTTTGCAGTGAAAATAAGGACAATCCAGTTCTTAAAGAAGATCATGCTTAGCTTGTTGTTTAAGGGCATGATATCAGTTACCCAGACTATGCTGCTTCATTTTGGTCTAGAATTATCCAGTTCAAAAATAAAGCCGACTTGTTTTATTACAAAATTAAATTTATTATTGCAAAAGTAACTTTGATTTCCAATACACAATAGGGTAAGAAGTCTAAAAGGTATAATATTGCTCAGTGATGTGCTTAGACAATTTCGTGACCAGCTTTACTTATAGGAATGCTAATATATTGCAAGAATTGCCGTGGTCCCTATCTTTATCCTTTGACTTTCCACCGTTGATGCTTCTTCGACGAATTTCATTTAAGATGCAGAGAATACGGAGCCAGTGAGAGAGACAGTGTATTGCTGTAAAACTTTGATCTGAACTGGACTGAACTGACTTTATAGAAATTAAGATTTATATACAGACTTATATACAGAAATCAAATTGCTGACTAAGGATTAGTGAGGATGATGTAATGATGATGTAATTAAGAGGGAAATATCTAGATATAGGAAGAAATCAGCATGACATAGATGTGTAAACATGTCTACAATGGTGAAGGGAATGTCCTGTGCTAGGTGATCGCGTGAATGACGTAAGTGGATGTCATGGTGATGGATTAATGAAGGAGCAGGAATATGGTCTATTTTACAATATGAAAGATGACCGATTATTTCTCTTTAGAAAATTCATTAATAATAAAATAAATGATCATAAACACACTTGATGATAACAAGTAAGAGCAAATGATGACATGAAAGTATAAGGAAATTAAGTTTGCGGAAACTAATATTCCTGGGGTTTTTAAGGAAAAGCCAATTTTAAGGAAATCTGCCAAAATGAACTGCGGCTTCATTTGAGCTCCTCATAACAATAATTTCAGGGCAAATATGGCTGGAAGGGCGCCAAGAGGCTTCAGAGGCTCTGGGGTAAAATGGAAAGACGATGACCCTGCAAGCGCAGCGAGCAGAAAAATTTCGCGACCACACCCTTCAGAGTAGCTTAAAATGCATCTAAGAAACCTCTTGCAGTTTATTCTTGCAGTCATTTCTTATAGTCATTAGCTTGCTGCTTATAGCAAGTTATTTCCAATACACTCTTTTTTTGTACGAACCAGTGAATTCGAGTTCAGGTTGACTGGTTTTCCAAAAATATGAGGGTGGATTGTTCTTAATTTGTTCTTAAATTAATAGGTTGTGAGCAGTGCGATTGCTAGCATTTTCACTCAAGGGAGGTGTTCAGGCCTTATTTGCCAACAAAGTGAGTGAAACAGGTTTCATTTGCCCACAGGTTTGAACATTCACCGAAAAAGCACCCACACATGGCTAAAAGTCCTCGTTTGTTAGATAGAACATTGTTCAAAATAGCATTTTACAGTAGCTCAGCCTCAGCTTGCTCTAAGTTTGTTTTTAACTTTTGACCAATTTGAGGCTCGTGTTCTTAGGAAATTGTTCTTATAAAAAAGAGTGTATTACAAAAAGAAAGTTGACTATAACCAACCATGACCAACAAAATGAGTGGATTATAGGTTCAAATGTTGTCAAACTTCCTATTTATTGCTAAGGTTCCTGCTGCATGACCAACTTTCTTGAAGTCTGCAAACACTGGGGTGACCCAACCCCACGCCCCCCTATCAGCACATCCCTGATTGAGACAACAGTTCTAGACAAAAAAATTTTCGTATCAAATCTGTTTTATTTCTATCCTAGCCAAGCATCTAAGACTTTAAGCATTTAAGATCTCTGCGTAATGGACTGGGTTGTACTACCAGTCATGGTTGGATGGTTCTCTGGCAAATAAATATACATAAAAATATCAAATGAAAAGGGCGGATCCAGAGCAAATTTGAAGGAGGGGCAGTTGGTAGTGGGGGCGCTGAAAATTTTTCAAAAATTGGTGACGAGAATACCCTGTATACAACAATTTCAGATCCATTTTCGAAATAAACGTCATAACTTTGAGGTAATTCTTGAAGAAAATTAACTTATTGGTCTCAGAAACTTTTTCACCCGATTCTCAGTTTTCAAAAGGGGCGCAAAATTTCCAAAAGAGGGCGCCAAACTTGCTTCAACTCGTTGAGGGAGGGGCAACTGCCCCTAGTTGCCCCCCCCCTTAAATCCGCCACTGGAATGACACCCTGTTTGTGACAATTTGTTCCTGACCACGTTATTCGTGAAATTTGCTGCGTCATCTTCTAGCAACATTGATAATAACATTACTGCAAATTTCTCCCATAGCAAAACTTTGAAAATGAAAATTTACAAAAGCGCTGTAAACATTGGACTTTATCAAAAAATTTACAAGGATAAAGATTCATTTTTTATCTCAGATTCTTGCAAATTTTGGTATTGAACTGAAGAATGTCCTGGAAGGGTAACAGCCGGCCGGTGTAGTATGCTAATCGGTCCCCCATGCAAAAGTGTCCCCTTTGAGGCGATACGTATATGCGTTTCAGTAACCTTCGTGAAACGGGTAGCGTTTCAGTGACCAAGTGGTAATGGCGGAAGTGTATAGCGAAGCTTCGAGAAAAAGTTCAAGATGCTGATATATTCTAAAGTTCAAGATGACTGTTAAATTTACTGGAAATCCAAAAATATATTATTTATAATGCAAAAATTGCTTAGATTTCTTGCGGTAGATGATAATAGTAAGCCGAAATAGAAAGTTGATACGGTGAGTTTAGGCCCATCAGCTTGATTCGTGAAATCGTGGCAAAAACTGATGGTTTATTCACAAGAGACGCTCCCTTGTGTTTAAAATCAAATTTTTTTACTCGTGCATACTTGATTGTAAAGAAAAGCTATGTACAAATCTAACATTAATTGCATATGAAAGGCGTGAATGTTGACATATAATTTATTCGTCCCTGCTCTGTTTGGCCTAAGCCTTGCTACAATTTGAATATATAGTAAACTTTATCGTGAATATCGACATTGTCTTTAATCATGCCCATTTAATAGTATTTTTTCCAAAATGCTGCTACTGAAAAGCTATGGGGCTAGTGCCCCTCGAAGCATGCATACATTAGATGGGGAAGATATTCTACCCCATGTTAAAAGGGACAGCCCCTCCATCAAACTTTATGACACCTCTGAAAAAAGTTATCAAAGTCTCTAGAATCAAGGCGGAATTTTTGCATCCTTGCTTTTCAACTAAGAGACAAGGTAGGCAAAGTATTTAGATGTGTATATAAACTGTGTATACTCTCAAGTTTAGGCATCTTCTGTATCAATAAATGATCCAAATCCCCCTATTGATTTTTTTAAATTGAGGAAATTTTTGTCTGAAAACATTTTATCTTGAATATTCTGTACTGATATTTACAAGTATAAACATAAAATATTGCTAATTCTGTTTTGTTTAAGAGTTAATATTGTTCAGAATGTCTGCTTTTCAATTTGGATGTTCTTGACATTGACAATTATTGTTCTTGGTTTTTCAAACACTCTCTATTGATGCTGAGCTGAGCATTTTCTTTTTCAAAGAATACATCTTCTGAAAACTCTTACTCACTAAACTTAAACAAGACAACAATGGATGAGATGTTTCTTGTATAGTGTGAATTTGATATGATGATGTCATCATCATTAATAATATTTAAACACTACAACTGTCTTAGGGTTCACATTACTTTGATAGACGGAAAGAATACATTATTTTTGTTTCTTGAAATTTTTTATATGGTTTAAACAATTGACAATCATGAAAAAATTTCCTTATTTGTTTTGTACAATTGTGGGGTCATAATGTTTACTGTATAATACCATGAGATTGTACTTTTTTGCTAAAATAAGCCTGACATCTTCTCTGACTTAGCCCTCATTTACTAAGGGATTTTTTTGCACAGCTCTTACACAATAGACATTTGTGTTCAGATTTTTTTGCATAAGAATGAGAAATAATAATTGAGAAAAAACAATAAAATCAGAGCTGTTTT